TATATATATATATATAATAAAAACAGAGATAAAATAATATTTTAACTTATGTTAAAGTTTAACATGAGATTTGACTCATTCCCTGTATTTACTATTTTTATAATTTACTAAGAAAATAAGGAGAAATAAGACAAAAAATTTCCGCTGCAATTTAATACCCAACAATGTTTAAAATTATTAGTGATGTACTGGATTATATTATACCATTTAAAAACAGTTAAGATGCAAATAAACAATCCAAAAGCTATTACAACTCTTCTAGCCAAAAAAAAAAAACTAACTTGATAATGATGCTACATCCTAATATTATGAACCGCATGCTGCCTTTGATATATATTGTCTTAATTATGCACTTGAAAACATGAGGGAATAGCCTACGTACATGTCTTGAACTGAAAATGAATAATTATTGTTGCATTATCAACTATGACTCTTTAGATAAAATTTTCTAATGAGTGCAAAATACACCATTTTTTATCTTCATTTTTATTCCGTTTTATCAAACGTAGAATGTATAAGATATAGAATAAAACTCATGTATTATATCTCATTTTAGAATGTATATCAAACGCTACCTAACAATTATGCAAGTAAGATTGCTATTTGGATTGTGCATTAATGGGCTAATATTTGTATAAGAACTGTATTTAAAAAGTTAACTAAAATTCGCCGTCAAAAAAAAAAGGTTGACTAAAATTCTACTCAAATGCTTGGTATAAAAAAAATTGTTGAAGAATTCCGAATAAATGGATCGAGTTTGTTTGATACCGAGGAGAAAAAGAAACACATTGTATCCATGTGCGTATGTTATTGACATGGCATGCAATATAATTGGTGGCCGCTAAACAAAAGAACAAAACATACAAAGTAGTATCATAAAATAGAAAGAAAAAAAATGGAAAATATCTGTCTGTTATAAAACCTTGTGAAATTTCACCAGATATTTATAATGGTAAAAATCTGAAATTGATGAATGAAAACTTCCATCCAAATATTTTTCTTCTTTGGGACATCCCGGTGTCCACATATGTGCTAGAAATCAAGCTTTCCTATAGAAAGTAAAAAAAAGCTTATATGATTAGTTGATTACCATTTTCCTAATTACCGAGTAAATAAACAATGATCAAGTCATTATCGAATATCTTACTCCCAAATTTTTTCAAATTAATTTAAAAAATTTATGCATCCACTTTGGGTACAAAGGGTCCATCATTTACAGGTAAACAACAAAAAAAAGAAAATGTGTTTGTTGAAGCAAGTTATTAGTTGAAGAAGTTAGAGCGAAAAGTAAATTCTATTTATTTAATTTTGAAAAAACGAAGCAGTTAAAGAAAAGTAAGGCGTGGTGTGCTGGCATTGGCAATCTTCGCTTCTTCTCTCTCTCTTGTAAGTCTCAACTCTTACCTTCACCGCGTTGTTAGGGATCAGAGAGAAATTGAAATTGAAATTGAAATTGAAATTCAAACGAAACATCGTCTCCGCATTTTCTCCTCTGTGCTGCTGAGTAAGTTTCTTCTGTTTCTAGATTCGTGCGTGGATCTACTTTTTGAATTTCGGTGTTGGAACCCTAAACTCGAGGATTCAGTTGGAATCTGTGGATATGGCGACGGGGAAGACATCTCGGTCGAGAGCCGCCGTGGCGAGTGTGAAGGAGAACGGACCGAAGCTCGAAGAAGGTCTCAATCCCTTCAAGTCTGAGAAATTCGACGCTGAGTCCTATGTCCAGTCAAACTGCGCTCTCAACGATAAGGTTTGTTTTCCTCTTTATTGTACTCAATTAGATGCATGTTCAATGATCCGTCTTGTTTTTTTCATTTTCCTTAGAAGCGCGAGTTTTCGCTTGCGCTTGTGCCTCGTTTTTTCATCGTTCAAAATGTGAATGTGTCTGTAATAACAATCACTCGCTAGTTTTTAGATGTGTTTGCTAGGGTGAGAGGCAGATGTCGAAAATTGCGTGCTGCTTGTTAAATTTCTCTTCACGTTTTCTGCACGGAACTAAACAAAAAAAAAAAAAAAAAAAGTTAATAATGTACGATGAACAATTGGCAAATGATTTCTCTTCATGAGTATATATTGATACCTCGATAATAGAAGCCTAATTATGCCTACTTGATGCAAGCGGTGAGGCCTATGAAGATCATTCAACTGGTTAGACTAGTAGACATATGAAGTTTATCCTTGCTTCATTTTTTAATTTTTCTTGATAATAACAGTAGCATTTAAATTGCATTCTTAATCCAGAGGAGAGTCCACTCCTAAAAGCTAGGAAGTGAAGAGAGGAGAAGCTCTATTTTAGATTGGATTATAGTGTCTCACACCCTGGCAACATCTGATATCCTTTCTCCATCCTGTTATATTTGTAGTTTCTTTCGTACCTTCTCAACTACTTCTCAACTACGATCTATATGGTTTGGCGAAATGCCTTCTTCACACTATTCAGCATTTACCTAAGTCTCATGTAGTTGCGAAATGGATTTGATGTATGAAAATTATCAAAGAGCACAAGTAATGCCAGCAGTGATAACCACATGATCAAAATTTTACATCAATTACTCATGTGTAACGGTGATACCTTTTATTGGATGCGTCTTGTTCACACCATGTAGAGAAAAGTTTCCACGCTCTTTGTATTAAGCATGTTTAATTTGTTCTTCAGGAAATTAAGCAATTGTGCTCATATTTAGTGGACTTGAAGAAAGCATCTGCTGAGGAGATGCGTCGAAGTGTCTATGCCAACTATGCAGCCTTCATACGGTTAGTTCTGTTAGTTTGTATAGATGTTTTGAAATCTGCAATGGTCCTTAAACTAGTAAGGAGTGGATTCAAGGTTTTGAAGTTGTACTTAAATTTTGTCAGACAATATGTAAAAAATATTAACATATATATTTTAAGCACATGAGTGAAATTATAGATGCAAAAATGTATGTCTATTTTATTTTGTCAAACTAATTCATGATAATACAATAAATTAACGTGGATGGGGAGAGACAAAGGTGGTGTGACCATGTGGAGATGCAGCTGTTTCTGGAAACTTCTTTACAATATTAATAATAATTAACAATACATGAACAATGATTTCCACGTTCAGCCTATGGATGGAGAGAGAAAATTAAAAAAAAAAAAATTGAAAATTCTATTGGTTGGTTGAAAAGAAAATGAAGAGAAAGTTGAAAGGAAAGAAAATTCTAGAAATAAACTTTCCTTTCTATGTTTTCTCTTCATTTCAAATTTCAAAATTTTCTCTTTTTTTTTTTTTTTCCTTCCTCAGTCCAAACCAAGGAATTTGGGTTTAGCGGAAAAGGCTAATCCCCTACAAAATGACAAACCAAGGTTCAAATTCCCACTGGGAGAGATGTCTGCATTTAGTGCCCGATAATGTCTTTTAGCATAATTACCTTTGAGAGAGGATACCTGTCGGGATAAAAAAAAAAAAAAAACAAGGGTGAAGGATGATGGGTTCAAATCATTTTTATTGTGAGCATATCCTCTCTTGTTCAAAGAGGGGAAAAAGGGGAAAAATACTTAACTTGGTCAGTCAAGTGTCATGATCTCTCCGTTTATTCTTTTTAACCTCAAGCTTATATTAGAAATATATTATATTTTTAAAATTTATTGAAGGGTTAAGATCTCATGTAAAGTCACTGCAGAGAATCATTCTCTTCTCATTTGCTAAAATCCACTCTCATGTAAAGCTCGTGGCTTCAGCCCCTAAACCTATAGGGGTCATTTAAGCTTTGTGCATTTGAAGTATCCCTCTGATACACTGGGATTCGCTCAAAGCATGCATACAAACCAAGATGATACATAAACTAAACTCAACCTTTTTACCAACAAACAAGTAGTCCTCTGCCACATCCCAGTTCTGCCTTTACTTCCCTCTAAAATGAAGTATCTAGAGTGATAGAGGAATATCTTTCAACCAGTCAACCCACAACCAATTTGCATGGTTTGACCGGTTCTCACTCTCCGGTTTTCAGGCATGGCCAGACCACTTCCCAATTGGTTGGGTTTTCAAAATGCTGGTTTTTATGCAATTTGAACATATCTTATGATGCTTGAAAAATTCTAAAGATGTCCTAATATTTCAGCCGTATCCTCATATCAAATCAAATAAATATTAGGTTAAACATATAAATTAGTTCCTATAGGTATTGTGGATTCTCAATTTGGGCCTTATACTTGAAAACTTATTAAATTGGTCCTTATACGTATAAATTTTACTGGTTCGGTCTTTACAACTGTTAACTCTTTCACATTCTGAAGTTGGTCTCTATACATACAGTGTATTCTTAGTTTGGTCTTTATGTATAAGGACTATATCAAGAATGCACTTCACATGCAAAGACTAAATTAAGAATGAGCTACATATATATGGACCAAATTAAGAATGCGTAAGGAAGTTAACAGTCAACACATAATGTCAGGGACCAAATTGATATCGTTTGCATGTATAGGATTGATTTAATAAATTTTATGCATAGGGACCTGATAGAACTGGTACCAACCGAATATGAAATTCAGATTTAATAAAAATAGAATGCCGGAACTTTATTAATCGTAATATTGCTTCTTGAGACGAATTACAACTGGACACCAATAGCCAGCTACCTCAAAACCTAATTCTTCCCAATTCCCTCCTCCAATAGAGGTACAATATCCTCTATTTAAAATAAATCTCATAACTGAAAATAGATAACTAATCAAAACAAACTATTAAAAGATAAACCTAAAAAATAGATAAATTATTTAAAATAGACAACCAATAATGATAAAACAGATAACTCAATTCTGTTCGGCTAACTATTATCATTATTTTCCCTTTTGTGGCGCCTCCTATATACCTTAGTAATAGGAGGTTTCGGTTGAAGTCTATCAGGACCAAACTGCAAATCCACAATATGTATGGGGGCTAAATTATATGTTTAACCTAAATATTTTATCAGTATCATTTGACATAGGATGTTTAGCATCTGACACTAACATTTTTTCATTCTGATTTTATTTATGAGAAATATCTCCCTGTATGTTTGGATTTGGTGGTAGTATAAGTTTACCATCTTTTTTTTTTTGGCTAAATTACTCCAACTTTCCTTCTATTTTGCTTTTCTTACACAAAATCCCACCTATTTCTAAAACCTACTCAAAACCCATCCTATTTTATAAATATGATAGATACACCTAAACCCAAAACCTTTTTTTTTAAATAAAAATTGACAAAAATACCCTTATTAAAGATTTTTCTTATTTACATAAAATCCCTATTCCCTTCTATTTCTTAAACACTATACAAACTGCCTTCATTACAATCTAATACCTCTATGGTAATAAAGACTTGAAATGATAAATATTTAAATATACAAATGTTAAGATAACATTAAGATAACATTAAAATAATTAAAGAAATTAAAAAAAAAGGTTATTAATAACAAATTTATCAATAACAAGGATTATTTCAAAATTATTGTAATAAAAAAATGCAATAAAAACATGATCATCTGAATTATTAATCATTAAATCAATAAAATATGATTTTATTATTTAATTTTTAAAAATCAATTTAAAAATAGTTTTATTGTATCTTATTAATAATCATGTGGTTTAGTTTTTATTAGATTTTTCATTTCAAAAATTTAAAATAATCTTTTATTTTGAATGTGAAATGATAATTTATTTTATTATTTATTCTTATATGTTACTCTAATTTTATTCTAAAACTTCCGTCATTTAATAATTTAGCACCTTCAAATTCTTACTATAATAAAGAGGAACTTAACTATAGTGTGTTTATATAGAAGGGGTTTTGTGTAATGTTTAACAAATAAAGGAGGTTTGTATAATGAGACAAAATATATAATAAGGATATTTTTGTCAAATTTATATGAAAAATAAAGATTGCGAGTTTAAATGTGGCATATTTGTAAAATAAGAGGTGTTCTGTTTAGGTTTCATAAAGAGGAAGTTTCGTGTTAGAAATGCAAAATAGAAGAGGTTGAAGTGATTTTCTCTTTTTTTTTTTTATTATTATCATTATACCCTTCTACATTTGGACCTTAAAAAATAGCTGCTGCAATGTGTTTTAGTTATTGTTAGTTAGCTGATTTTTTGATGGTCATATTTTGAATCAAAGTAATATTTAAATGTTACAGAACATCTAAGGAGATATCAGATTTAGAGGGGGAGCTTTCTTCTATTAGAAACCTGCTATCTACACAAGCTGCCTTGATACATGGTTTGGCTGAAGGAGTTCACATTGATTCATTATCACTCTCCAATTCTGATGGTTTTTCAGTAAATCCTACATCAGATTCCGAAGATAAAGAGATATCAGATCTGGACAAATGGTTGGTTGAGTTTCCTGATCTCTTGGACGTTCTTTTGGCTGAAAGGCGAGTGGAAGAAGCTTTGGCTGCTCTTGATGAAGGAGAACGTGTAGTTTCTGAGGCAAAAGGGATGAAATCTATCAACTCATCTTTACTTTTATCTCTACAGAATTCCATAGCTGAACGTCGACAAAAGTTAGCTGATCAGCTTGCCGAAGCTGCTTGTCAGCCCTCCACACGTGGTGCTGAACTTCGTGCATCAGTTTCTGCCCTTAAAATACTTGGAGATGGTCCCCATGCCCACAGCTTGCTACTAAATGCTCATCAGCAACGATATCAGTATAACATGCAAAGTCTTCGGCCATCAAGCACCTCATACGGTGGAGCATATACTGCAGCTCTTGCACAACTGGTATTTTCTGCAGTTGCACAAGCTGCAAGTGATTCTTTGGCTATTTTTGGTGAGGAACCAGCTTATACTTCTGAACTTGTGATGTGGGCTACAAAACAAACAGAGGCATTTGCTCTTCTGGTGAAAAGGCATGCATTAGCTTCATCAGCAGCTGCAGGAGGTTTAAGAGCTGCGGCAGAGTGTGTTCAAATAGCATTGGGTCATTGCTCATTGTTGGAAGCTCGTGGCCTGGCTCTTTGTCCTGTGCTGTTGAAACTTTTTAGGCCCAGTGTTGAGCAAGCACTAGATGCTAATTTGAAACGAATTCAAGAGAGTACTGCTGCTTTGGCCGCGGCTGATGATTGGGTACTTACATACCCTCCTACAGCTAATCGTCAGACTAGTAGACCTTCAAGTATATCCATTAGTAATACAACAGCATTTCAACATAAACTTACAAGCAGTGCCCATCGCTTCAATTTGATGGTCCAGGTGAGAAAATCTGTTATGACTTGATATTGATTTGTTACACGGAATGCAGTTTGGAGTGGTTTCAGAACAGAGATGTGGCATTGATTTGGACGGTGTGAATAGGTGTTCTAAAACTAAGTGTACAAAATATTTGTTATTTTGATTCTGTGTATTTTCTCTCTTTTAAGTGAAGATATTTAGAATTTTTTATTGCAATCTTGGTTTACTCCTGTTCATTTATAAATAATATCCATCTTTTGGTCTATGATTTTGTATGTTTTCTTATTTGGCTTCTCAAAAACATTTGAACATTTTTCTTACTGAGATTGAACAAACGATTCTCTTCTTACTGAACAAACTGCTACAGAACACATACTCATCTGCACATTTTAATGTTTTTAACTCTACTAGGTTCTTTCCATGTTTCTTGTGTAGTTTTAATGGTTTATATTTTTAATTCACTTTATGCTGGATGTTCTCTATGCTTATACAGGACTTCTTTGAGGATGTAGGACCACTGCTTAGCATGCAGTTGGGAGGTCAAGCTCTGGAAGGATTGTTTCAAGTTTTTAACTCCTATATAAACATGCTCATAAAAGCATTACCTGGATCAATGGAGGAAGAAGCAAACTTTGAAGATTCTGGAAACAAAATTGTACGCTTGGCTGAGACTGAGGACCAGCAAATTGCGTTGCTAGCTAATGCCTCATTACTAGCAGATGAATTACTTCCACGTGCAGCTATGAAGCTTGCCCCCATAAATCAGACTGCTTACAAGGATGATTATCGAAGAAGAACCTCAGAAAGGCAAAATCGTCATCCTGAACAAAGAGAATGGAGGAGAAGGCTTGTTGGTTCAGTTGACAGATTGAAAGATACATTCTGTCGTCAACATGCATTGGACCTAATTTTTACTGAGGAAGGTGATAGTCATCTTACTGCTGACATGTATATAAATATGGATGGAAATCCAGACGAAATTGAATGGCTTCCATCATCCATTTTTCAGGTATTTTGGAAATCTGAATTTATTGTGAATATATTCTACAGATTTTCAGACTTTTGTGCCTCATATTGTTCTTAGAGTGAATATGAAACTGAGTAGTGCTAGCTAGCAAATTAGCAATACACCCTATTATTAGTTGAAATTTAGTGGAAACTATTAAATCATGAGAAACATTGAATAAGAAGTGGAATCCACAAAATTTTGTGATTTTCAATGAATTTCAGCCACAATAATATGTGGTCAAAAAAGTATGTTGCCAACAATTCTCTTTTAAATTTCATTTTTTCAGCTGTGCTAAGGATAAGATGTGTTTTAATTTGAAGTCTCTGTTTGCATTCTGAAATAGCTAATTAACCAATTTAAGGGTTCTGTTCTATGATCAACAATTTCATAACAGAAAAGTGAAACTGTTACATCAGATGGCTGACTACAGAAGTTGTTAGTCCTAATATATGGATTTTGGAATTTTTTATTGTTTTGTATTTAATTTTGTGGTTTTAATTTTCCCGTCTACCAGAAGGGAATCAAAATTGTTCCGTTTTTTAGGTATACATCCCCTTTTTAATGATAAAAAGAAATTCAAATTATATATAATAGTAATTTACCTTATTGCCACATCATCCTATTCATTGGATCCTGTTCCTCTAAAGTGAGTTGCTCAGTTTAAGGGTTAAGTAATTAATATCAATCATTAATAAGAAAATCAACTGTAAATGTTTGATCAACAACTAAGGTTACTTTCTTTACCCATACTCGTTTCAGAAGAGAAAAATCCCTAACCATTATATGATGTGGCAACAGGATGATTTCATATTGAATGCTTGAATTTGATTTTAAAGCAGAGTATTTCCACCTTTGAATTCCTTTAACAAAATTACATTCCATGTTCTACATTGGATATTGGATTAAAGAACTATTATTCTTCATAACTTGTATCGCATATAGAATTTTTCAAATCGATTTTTTTTTTCTTTTGCAATATGAATAATCTTTTCTTTTTTGCTAAAATCAATACAAGTTCTTTTCTAACTTTTTTGCCGAGTTATACTACAAATGCTATTCGAGATCTGATGAGGCTATTATGTTATTGTCCAGGAGCTTTTTGTAAAACTGAACCGAATGGCCAATATAGCAGCAGATATGTTTGTAGGGAGGGAAAGATTTGCTACGTTGCTCTTGATGAGACTTACAGAGACTGTTATGTTGTGGCTTTCAGAGGACCAGAGCTTTTGGGACGATATTGAGGAAGGGCCAAGGCCTTTAGGTCCCCTTGGGCTCCGACAGGTATAATATTGGAATTTTTTATTATATATTGATGATTTTCTTTTAATTTTGGTTTTTCTTACACCACTGAAGTAATTGTTAGAAACCCATGTATGCTAACAGACAAGAACTGATGCCTTTAAATGCAAAACTGAATAGGAGAGTTTTATTTAGGATAAATATTTGAGGCAAGTTCTTGTATCACACTATAACTCAGAGATCGAAGTAGTGGCCTTTTGTTGTAACAACCAGGGCTTCAAACAAAAAACAGTTTTAACTTTGTAAAGAAATTTATACTATCAATCAATTAGAAATCATGGTAGATACGACTTTTAAGGTTTAGGGTAAAAATCAATCAATTTACTATACATTTCACTTTTTGATTGAATATTAGTGTAAAATCTTTTTGTATTATCGGTGAATAGAATACTTTCTCTACAAAATACAAATAATTCAAACCAAATCAAATTAGAAGGCATGAAAATAAGCTACTATAACACAAGTAACTTAGATTTTATTTTTTTCATTCCACACAACTTCTGCATTATTGCCATTTTGTTCTTTTGTACCAATATCATTTAGTCGGTGCAATTATCAAACACATGGAGAAACAAATTTAACTATGCTAACCATTTAGATTCTGGTCCTACTCTCATCTCCGTCGCTTGAGGAACGCATCTATTTATACATTGAAAAGTGAATTCATTCCTCTGCCTTAAGAAAATTGTCTATGTCCTGTTGTATTGTTTAAAATTACTACATTCTGGCATTGCTGAATGTATTGGTGTTTAGAATCTTTAAAAGTGTAATAATAATGATTTGCTGACATGGAAGATCAATAGATGAAAACTTTACATGGCAACTGCAACGTTAATCATGGCCATATAATTTTTTCTTATATTGTGCAGTTCTATTTGGATATGAAGTTTGTCGTATGTTTTGCCTCCCATGGACGGTACTTGTCAAGGAATTTGCAACGAATTGTTAACGAGATTATAACAAAAGCAATGGCGGCATTTTCTTCAACAGGAATGGATCCATATAGGTAGGCTACTGGTGTCACCACCATCAACGTTCTATATATATTCTTCTGCAATTTTTAGGTTCCAAGTTGTGGCTTTTGCTTATTTAGTTGTTTGATATATATCCCATTGCCAGAGAACTGCCTGATGACGAATGGTTTAACGACATGTGTCAAGATGCAATGGAAAGACTAAGTGGAAAACCCAAAGAAATAAATGGGGAGAGGGATCTTAACAGCCCTACTGCATCTGTCTCGGCACAGTCAATTTCGTCCGTCAGATCTCATAGTAGTTCGTGAGGCATAGTTTCATCCTTGTAAATTAAGGCATTCGGGAAATTGTTAGCAGATTTTTATACTCTTGAAGATCTATCTCCTCATTGATCCTGATGTTCAACCTTCACTGTAATCGGTTCCCCTTCATTTTTACCTTCGCTGAATTTATTTGGGGATAACCCTGCATTTGTGTAGTCGTGTAGATTAAATTTTCCATAGCCAGATGTTTGCTAATAGTTTTTCCACCTGTCGATTTTTGGCTTTTGGTTTGTAAATGTTGACTTCATTATTTGGTTCATATCCTGAAACATTATTCTTTTGAAAGAAGTGCACTTGATTTGATTTTTTTTTTTTACGTTGCTCTCCCCTTTTTTCCGTGAATCTGATGGTCAAGTAACGATATACCGTAGTTCAAGCATAAACGAGGATGTATTTCACGTTGAATTGTATGCAAGTTACATATTCCGTACTGTGAATAGACAAGTGCCTTGAAATCATGAGCAAAATGCTTACTAAAAAATTCAAGTTTTTAATATATATACTTGAAAACCTTGCTTTCACACTTCAGGCAAAAATTCTACCATAGTCAGTAGTCAGTAAAACAATATCTACAGCAAAAAGACTTGGATAAAATTAATAAAGCAGCTGAAAATATAGTCAGCGGCAAAATTCCCATCAAACAAACCCAAATTGGTAGCTTAAGTTATAAAACAAGAATCCGACACTACATCGATGTTTGGCAGAATTGATTAAGTACAACAGTTGACCTCTCTCGTATGATGCCCAAAAACAAGCTAAGTTGCAATTTCCATGGCAAAAATTGTGAATTGATATAGTCGTATGAGCTTTCAGGCGAAATCCAAAAGTTGCAGCTCAGCAGAATAAGGATTCCAACAACATTACTCTTTTTGGGTTTTTATTCTTAACCTATCAGTTACTTCTGTTACACAAGCAAAAGTTTTGCTACAAATAGTATATTTTGAAAACTAGCACAGAATTAGCATGTCGCTGACAAAATAGTCAGTCAGCTGTTAAATGAGAAACTCAACATTCCTATAACTCAAAGGCAGCTTCACTTGATAATAGACAGAAGTTCCAACCTAATTTGATGGTTCACCCAAGCAAACAAAATTACCTGCAACGATATGGCAGCAGCAGTAATGGATCTCCATTATCAAAGTCTGCTTTGTAGGTTTCAAATCCTGTATAAATCAGACAACATATAACTCCCGGGATTCCCTTTAAATAGCCCTGAATAGCTTGAATTTCAAAGCATCAACATCAATGCTCTGATCAAATGGAGTCATGTATGACGGATTCAATGGTAAAAACAACAAAATATGGTGTAATATGACAATGGTAATGATTATAGAAAGGATGATCATTGGTATGACATCCTTATTTCTCCATACCCTAGCCAAGTCGTGCCATGAAATCAAAGTAAGCATCACCATAAGATGTCATGTCAAATAAGCACCAAATGAACCTAAAGTTGGAAAATAGAAGCCAAAGCCTGATTGAATAAGCATTCCTAATGCCAATGTACACAGAAAGTATATATGACCATAAAGCACACACTTCAAACAAAATTTAGACTCATGCATTAATTCTACAGGTGATAACATCATCTAAACAACTATGAAAGTAATTTGGAAACCAACACATGCTGCCAAGAAATGCATTTCCGATTAGTATAACATAGCCAAATGTATGTATATGATGCCACTGTGCATTCATTCACATGAGCAAGGATGCTAATGGCGATGACTTGATGATCAATGGATGCATGTGACAGCTGCAAGATGCATCCTATTATGTAGTAATATTGTCGGAGCATAAAAGAACAGAGTACATCCCCTTCAAGCTACTGATAAGTCATTGTTGGTGGAGCTCCATTTGCACTAGGAACAGCAATAGGAAGATTATCTTTCCTTTTTCCGAATGGATTTTTTGAATATCTACAAAGAAGTTAAGAAAAACACAACAATTCCTAGCATATAACAGGATGTAAAATTCACAACCAATTTTATACCAAATTAGATGCAAAGGACGGCAGTGTTTTTTTTTTTTTTTTGTGCAAATTGAGGGATAGGGGATGGTAGGAAGAACCAACAGTCAAAAAATATGAAGCCTGAACCATAATATTTACAATATAGTTTTGACCTAAGAAGCACTAATACTTTCCTTTTGCAGCTGTATTCGTGAAAGATTATACTTCAAAACAACTGATAGTGTCAGGAAAATCCTCTGAAAAAAATAGTTGAATTGAAAGAAACCCATGGTTCTAGTATCATTGATGCACAGGTACATTATAGACGAAAGAAAACATTTGTGACACATTTTTACAAATGCAAGTATTTTAGGAAAAAGGCCTTGTGTAATCCCCAGTGCTATAACCCCAGATGCACAGTAAATTTTAGAGAGAAAATTTCGAGGTACTTGACAATATAAAAAAGGATACTGTATCCGCATGCCAACAGAACCAGAACTTGGGATAACAGCACCCTGCAGATTATGGTGCACATTGGTTGCACTATTAACATCCTGCAATAGGTCATTGAATATCAAACTGAGGAAAATTTACAAGAAATCATATAACAAGTATTCACCAAGTCATAAGAAATATATATGTCAGACTATAAAAGCTACAAATATAATAAAGGCCACTTACTTCAAACTCAATGAAGCAAACTGTATGCCTCTCCTGCCTTAAAATTTTCATTTGCTTAAAACCAGGTTGTCTGCAACACAAAGTCAAGTTGAAGATATTTTGCCCTTACTTGAGAGCATAGTATATACCACAAACTAAATAGAAGAGCCAGTGTTGAGGGATAAGATGTGCTTACACACTGAAAAGGCCCCTCACTTCTTCCTCATTTATGTTCTCTCCCAAGTTTCCAATGAATAAGGTGTTGCAAGGAGGATTATCTTTTGTGTTCTGTACAAAATAATAAAGTTAAACACAGTACCACACCATATTACATACCATACAAAACAAACTCTGAATGATATACAAAGAATTTTTATTAATTAGCAAATTAAATTAACACAACCCAAGTTTTCAGCAATGTGGAAAAACAAAATAATTCAGCAAGAATTCAAGTAACAGCCACCTATGGATTTATTTTTTCTTGCCATAAGATGACCCAATACATTATATCAACTCCTATATATTAAACAAGAACCTCTATCTAACACAAGAACATTTTTAGGACTTTGCTTCGACAAGAGGAATTTTAGAAACTTTTTAACTTCTTATCTAATTTGATTTTTATATATCATAATTATTTATAAATTAAATTTTTATATTTTAAAATAAATTATCAATAAATAAAAATAATATCATACTACAATATAATTTATATGTTTCTATCAAAAAGATATATAATTTATATTTTAAAAAAATCAATTTATACCAATTTTAAGTATGATTTATATATTCAAATATAGTATTTATTTGTATATATAATTTATTATAAATTTTAATTATATATAATAAATAATTAGCATGTGCATTGCCCAGGCTAAACTACTAGTTATTTGTAAAATTGAAAACTCCTTCAGTTTCATTATGGAGAACATCCTTAGTGATTCCAGATTAGATTTAGTGGAACCCAATTTTTCATCTTACTTACACTGACACAAGTAATCTATGAGCAATCATTCCCGGAGAATTTATAATTACCACATATTAGCTATTAGGTCTAGCAAAACCTGAAAAACACATCACTTCAAGAAAGAGTTTGGAACTAGTACTACTTTTATTCAAAGATTCTTCTAGCAAATGAGATTCGTACACTGGAATCACCTTTTAATGTATTTACCAATATAATTGTAAAACAATGCATTCAAGCTTTCACACAGAAAATAATTCTTTTCTGGTATCAATTAATTTAATCTTGCCTCTATATCAATAATCATTGATAAAATATTAATCGTAATCTTCAAAAGATGAGACAAAATAGGTACGTACAATCATTGATAAAATAAGAATAGTAATCTTCAAAACATTAAGCAAAATATCCAACAAAATCAAAGGTAAGTGCCTCCCTGCCTATACTCACTTTGAAGTTTGAAATATGATACTAGAACTCTATCATGTCAGCTCAACATGCCATGAACATGGTATTATGCAGATAAATTCATCAATTTTAAAAATTAATGTTGTAATATATACATACACACACACACACAAAGAGAGACATATATATCATCAAGAGCAGAGTTACGATCCTTTCTGACCAAAAGAGATTTTCTTTAAGCAAGCATTGCAGACTACGATAACAGAGCATTTAAAAATTTGTCCTTCCCTTTTAAAATACAAGGTGAACATTACAACACAACGAGTAATGATATAATCATTGATAGGAAGATCAAGTGAAACTAAAGCACTGTTCATACTTTCGGTCACACTCACCTGAACTGGAACATAACTGCTGGGTGCTGCTATGGGAGCAGGAGTAGGCATTGGTACAGGTGCAACAGGATAGCCTGCATATGGATCATACGGAGGAGGAGGAGGTGGAGCCATGTATCTGGACCATAAGAACAAACAAAATGTCACAAACTAAAAGCAAACAAACTGACACAAATTTAGAGCCTGTTTGGATAAACTTCTCTAGAAGTACTTCTGGGAGAGAAAAACAAGAAGAAAAATCAGAATAAGATAGAACTAGCTTATGCATGAGTTAAAAATAAAATTTTGGAGAAGCTAATAGGAGAACTTTTACAAATTAGCTTATGCACAAGCTAGTATTAGCTTATGGAGAAGCTCATTTAATTTTACCTTCCTATTTTTCTTTCCTAGAAGTGCTTTTAGATAAGTTTACCCAAACAGGTCCTAAGAATTTGTTCGTATACAAGCTTAGAAGTGCTTTTGAGGGCTTTTCTACTGGAAATAACTCTTTCATTTTCAAAAGAGAAGCTCTAAAAAGCACTTCTAACTTGTATCCAAAGAAGTTCTAGAATATATGGAATAAGATACAAACGAAAATTGTTATATTGAGATTACAAATTGTTATATTGGCAGTGTTTACCCATGTGGTCCCCAGACAGGTGGCGGGGGAGGATGAAAAGGAGATGGAGTTGTATAAGCAGTGTGTGTATAATCCCCGGCTGTCCTCAAGCGTTTACTTTGATCAAAAGCACCCGCATCAGCTCCTATTCCTACAAAGAAATCAAAATAAGCACATCTACAAAGTGAATAAAAACAAAAAATAAATTAACACGATACTTTTGTTTTTTGTTTTAATAAGGAGGTATAATTCCTTCCATGGGATAGAGTGCAAGTGTAACCTCTAGTAGTGATTAATCGAATCCAATCCCAATCATTGGTAAAGGAAAACAAGTGAAACAAGTGTCGAAACACTCTTGTCAACGATTAATGGTAAATTAACAGAATAGTGAACTATTGCGAGCAGGAACAGGTGATTAACAAGACAAGCTAGATAAATGTGGAGCTAAGGTGTCGGTTACGGTTTGAAAGTAACAGGCAAGGGGAAATGGCATTAATTTGAAGAAACGGCAATTAAGAGATCAAATGAACGTTGCGGTGTGGTATGAAAGAGAGAGAAACCTCGTTTGACGAAGAGATTCTTCTTGGCCATCTCGGTGTGAAGAACGGACTTGGTGTCGGGATCGAAGAGCATGTCCTGAAGAATGTCTTTGGCGGCGAGAGCTTGGTGTGGAGCGGTGAAGAGAGCGAAACCCATTGGCTTTTCGGCTTTGAAATTCAGCTGAGAAGCTTCGAAACCTGGCAACCATCTCAGCAGATTCTGCAGTTCTCTCTCTTTCACGTCTTCGGGGAGGCCAGTTATGAATATGGTTCGAACCTCTTCGCCGGCGTGGGGAGGAGGAGCGGCGGCGGGTGGAGGCGGAGGAGGAGGCGCCGCGGCTGCCGGAGGCCATTGCTGGTGGTATGGGTGGATGCCGGTGCCAGCCATTGCGTCCGGAAAATGGATCAAAACTATCAAACCCTAACCCCAATCCTCTCTATACCTCTATACCTCTATACCTCACTCCGCAACCGCAACTCTTAAATTAAATATAAATAAAAAGTACAATGCACCATCTCTTTTAACTTCAGATCAAATAAAATAACTATTTAGCATAAAATATTTCCACCAAGTTTTCAAAAATTTCCTTTTTCATATTATACTAGCATGTTCATATTATGTGAATAATTATTACTAAACAATAAATGTTTTTACATTTTTTTAGCGATAATGTTTTCTAAAAAATAAATTAACATCTATCTCTTTTAACTTTTCATTTTCATCTTTATTTTTATTTTTTTTTCGACAGCAGTGACTAATCACCTCGCTACGGGAGGCCAAGATTTAACGCAGCTGCATATACAAGGCAGGATTCGAACCCCTGACCTTGCTTAAGCGTGGATCAACCCCTACCGCTGAACCACACGCGCTTGAGGTTATTTTCATCTTTATTTAAAATTAAGTTTTAATAAAAATGATTATATTTATCGGATATGGTAATCAAGGATAGTTAGGATTTAGCGGATTTAAACTTAACCTACAACGGTCTTTAAAAAAATCTTAACCAATAACATCATTACTATGTTTAAGCTTAATATATTTAACTATTACGAGCATTTTTCTATAACTTAATTTCTCCTATTTAAAAGTATAATATAAACTAGGTAAAAAAAATAAAAATAAAAAAAGGTATAATCTAACTAGAAAGAATATTTACGTGACCTGTTTTATTCAAGGCTTATAACTAAACCTAATAATGCAAGAATAAATATTATCAAACTTAATTATACAAAGTATTTAATAATTACATTAATTAATACTTGAACGGAAAAAAAATCACTTTTTTGTTTTACAAATACTATGTTATATTTAATAAATACAAAGGGTTGATATTATCTGAGGGGAAAAGGTTTATTTATATATATTGTTGAATTATTACTATTAATTGTTATATTGTATTATATTTGCGTCTTTGTACATTTTATACTTTTAAATTGTTACATTAAAATACATTTTATGAGGAATAATAATTAAAAAAGAATTTTATATTTTAGGAATTTAAGAAGAGGAGCCCGACATTTGAATAAAACATAAAAATAAAATAAATATTAGAAGAAGTTTTTAATAGGTCTTGCTTGCGACTTACATGCAATATTAACAAATAAGAGTCATTAAAAAAATTGACAAGTACAAATGTCTACCTATTACTAAATAATGAGTAAAACATGTTAACTATGATATGTATATCAGATTTTTTTATATATGTAATAATTGCACAAAGGGATGGTTTATAACTGTTAAAAGAAAGCTTTTTTTATGTGTAAAATAGATTATAAAGATGTGACCAGCAATAAGTTTAGATTTTTTTTACTACTACCCCCAATTGCTTCTCTCTCAAACATTAAACTAATGATAATGATCTGTTTAAAGTCGAAATTAATTGGATGAAGTGGATAATTTTTTTTTAATAAAATGCAACAATAAAATAAGAAAGAAACTATCCCAAAGTCATGCTTGCATTGTTCATTGTACGTGGCTTTTCGTATGTGTATATCTAAATATGAATTCCTTCCCGAAAGAGAAAGACTAAGAAAGTAAAAATTTAAGTAATGAATCCCAAATCTTGCCTCTATGAACATTTCAAAATCCCATAGATATTAAATATTATTAAATATTAATAAAATAATGGATTCCTTTTTCTTAAATATTTTATAAGAATTTTGTTTTACCTATTTATACGAATTAAGTATTCCAACTTATTCTATATTATGAATTATTGACAAATAATTTTTGAAAAGAATATCCAAATACCAAATCTCATCTATATATAACCTCCGCAAAATAAAACAAATATTTTTCTAAAAATAAAATAAAAATTCATCCTCTCAAAAAAATAAAAATATCATCTTCTATCGTAATGAGTTTTTTCAATAATTTTTTTAACCTAATTTTTTCAACAACAAAAAATGCACACAATACTTTTATGGTTATGAGTCAAAAAAATTTACAAAAAATTCGAAATATATATTTTATTTGATTCAAACTCCTCTTTTTTTTTCTCAGATCCATTGTAATAATGAGAAAATTTTCTACATGACACTTGCAGTTTACACGCGCATAGTCAATTTATGGTGATGTTATATGTAAAACAGACTAATTCAAAAAAATATATATAATACTGACCCAAATCAATAGAGAAAAATAAAAAATTATAAGAACTAAAATAGAAAAATTATAAATTTACAATGACAAAAATTTAAGAGATCTAAAATGAAAATAATAAAAAATTAGGAGGATTGAAATTAACATTAAAACAAAAATTTAGGAGGATTGAAACATAAAAACAAAATTTTGAGAAGATTAAAATAAAATAAAATAAAATTTAAAGGAATTAAACTTATGAGCTAAATATTTATTTGAGTTAATTTTATAAATTTAAAATCTTAATTACAATAAATACATTAATACAAATTTTTTAAAAAAATAACTATGATAAATACATTAATGAATAAAAAAAGAAATTATGAAAGTTAAACGCATAATTTTGTAAAAATCATATAATGATACAATCACCTTACAAATGTATAAAAAAAAATATAATAAATACGTATTAAGTACTAAATATGAAATAAGTTAGAAATAATAAAATAAATCATAACATGTGGATATAAAATAATAAAAAAAATTAAACAAACAAACCCACATTAACATAGTTTTTTTTATAACTCATTCTTACCTGATTGACTCATATTAAAAATAAAATAGTATTTCTAATTACATTTTTTTTATATCTCTTATAAATTACGTTAAACAAAATACCTCTTTTTTATCATTTTATTCTTGAGTAACTCATTTTGACATTTCTATGGTATCATATGTTTTGTTTTTGTTACTTTTTATTTATTATATTTCTTTCGTAACTTGATTACAACTTATTCAACTTCTATAAAATTTTAATTTGCAATAGATTTTATTAGATGATCACTAGAATTTAAGATTTTTACTCTATTTAAGTACAAATGAAAATAAAATATTTTAAATTTACTTTAAAAATAGAAATTTAATCTCTTTAAAATAAGATTATTTTAATTTTTATTCTCTTAATTCTAGTTTTTTTTATAATCTTCTTAAATTTATTTATTTTCATTTTGATATTTTCAAATTTCAGTTATTTTAATTTTAGGAAAAAATATTACAAAGAAATTTTTTTATAAAAAAAAAAAAGACTAAAAACAGATCACCTGGACTAAAAAGTTACAATTAGTTAAGCAAATATTATAATTAGTTGAATTTTTTGAAATGAAAACGAGTTGATAGATGCTTTTCTTTGTACTAGCTGTGGAAACATTCAGGGGCAAAGTTTGCCTTTTAGTTTTAGAATTATAGGTATTAAAGGCATCTTCCGGATGAATTAAATGAATTGCTTCTTGCTTGTAACTTCCGCAAGTTCCAGTTGGTACATTACATTATTGACGAATCTCTTGCCTTGGCCCTTTGTAATAATTACAATAGTTATGCGTCAATACCTAACTGCTTTTATCAGCTAGAAACAACGTACCAAATTGAATTCATGATACTGCAATAGCAAAAACTCAATGCAGAGACAACAGAAAGGTGCACACTACTAGCTGCAAACAGCTAGTTTTATTCTCAAAAATCCAAATATATTACACCCAAAATAGCTTCAAGTTTCCTCGAATTGCCACCAAAATACCTCTGGTGATCATATGCAAAAACAGATCTAGATCATCTGAAGTGCATGTGCACTTTCAGAGAGAGAAAAAAACTACATAATTGTTAAAAAAGAACATTTCATTTTAATCAATAGCTATTTCGCTTTCTAAAACTTAATGATTAAAATCCATTGATCCGGGTTTATATACCAACTAGAGCTTGAGGAATACAAACTCTTCAATGGCAGGCACATCTCCAATGTTGTCAAGAGCCTCCTTGTTTGGTTCTTCATCCACACCAATAGCCATAATGGCCTTCTTCCTGCGTGATGTCCTTCCCACACTCATAAAGCTCACATTCACGTTTTGCTCACCAAGTATGTTTCCAACACGGCCAATCATGCCAGGCTGATCCACCTGTCGGCACAGGATTAGATTTCCCTCAAGGCTCACATCCACATCGAAAGATCCCACACATGTTAGGTGGGGTTCACCAAACTTCACTTTTCCCTCGATGCTTATAGGGCCACTCTCTGCTACAGCACTTGCAAATTTGGACTCCACATTGGATATTTGCACCTGGATTGAATCAACAGGTAGCTCGGGAGATGAATCAACAACCACCTTTTCTTCGCTTATGCGAAGCCCTTTCTGCTTGGCTATGAAATCAGCATTCACAAGGTTCACAATGGTGTTTGATATTGGCTCAATGATGCCCTTTGTAACCATGGCTCGCAGAAGTCTAGTGTCCAAGTCATCTGGACCCCTAGCGGATCGATAAAGAATCTTTACGGATTTGATTCCACTTCCTCCAGACACCAGTTGCACAGCTAGTCTTCCCAGCTTCTCAGCTAGCACCACATATGGGGCCAATTCCGATAGCACCTGATCACAAGCACCAACCATGTTTTGTTTGAATTCAATATAGGAAAGGAATAGCATTCTTACATACACTACCTTAGGCATTGTTAGTATTATTTTTCAATCAGAATTGGAGTTTCATTTCGGTAATATACATAATTTACACAGATTATTACCAAATTGAAACTTCAATTCCGATAGCACCTTAGGCATTCTAATTCACAATGCTTACCTCAGGAGCAACCATAGGAGCATTGACAGCGGTTGCTGAAAGTTCCCCTTTCAATGCTCCTAGCACAGCCTCTGCTATTTCAATAGCTACACCCTCCTGGTGAGTCAAAATTGGTTAGAAAACGATGTATGCGAATGCTACATAACAGAATTGAAAGTGGGATCTAATATAATAAAATGGTTGAGGAAAAACAAACCTGTGCCTCTTTGGTGCTAGCTCCAAGATGAGGCGTAACAGTGACATTCTCATGTAGCACCAACTTGCTGTCCTTGGATGGAGGCTCCTCCGTGAAGACATCAAGAGCTGCCTGTTCCATATGCAATTGTGACAAAGTTATAGTAATTTGAGGGACACATGTGCAACAATTGAAAAACTACTAGAAGGAAAAAAACAAAGTTACAGGAAAAGGAATGACCTGAGCAACGATTCCACTATCAAGGGCTCTGACTAATGCATCTTCGTCAATAACTCCTCCTCTAGCAACGTTGACGATGCGAACACCCTTCTTCATCTTTGCAAAAGTGTTGTCATTGAAAACCTTGTTGGTGGTTGGAGTGAGTGGCATGTGGAGGGAGATGAAATCTGCAGTGGAGATAGCCTGGTCAAACGAAACAAGATCCACACCAATAGCACGGGCTCTATCAGCAGGAGCATAGGGATCATGTGCAATCACGTGCATGCCCAACCCTTTCGCACGCCTCGCCACCTCCGATCCAACTTTTCCAAAACCCATCACCGCCAATGTCTTTCCAACCATGGAAACTCCCACGTACTTGCTCCTCTGCCATTTTCCTAAAAAGAAAAACTCTCAACAAAATAAACCTCAACAACTAACTATTCATATAAACATGTCAACAAATTCCTGGGTCTCGGTATGTACGTCAAATCAATGTTTCTCTAACCAACATGTTAGCGTTGTTTGGTTGTGCATAGTCTAGATCCAAAGACATGAGTAGAAAATATAGAAAGAGAAGTGGGTATATTAATATTAAATGAAAAGAATATAATTAAAAGTTAAAAGTGGGTGTATACTAATACCAGCTTTGATGGAGGCGTCAGCCTGAGCAACGTTGCGAGCCATGGCAGCGAGGAGAGCGATCCCATGCTCAGCAGCAGCAATAGTATTAGCGGTGGGAGCATTGACAACGAGGCATCCGAATTCAGTAGCAGCTTGCAGATCGACGTTGTCAATGCCCACACCGGCTCTTCCAACAACCTTCAACCTTCCCTTGCCAGCTTCGAACACTTCCCTCGTCACCTTGGTTCCGCTCCTCACAATCAAGGCGTCGCAGGCCGAGATCTTCTTGCAGAGCTCCTCCGGTGAGAGCTCGTACGCGCATTCCACGTGTCCCAATTCCCTTAGCACCCGCAGCCCCGCCTCTCCCAGCTTCTCGGAGACCAGGATTTTCACCTTTTCTCCCACATCCTCCGACGCACATGTTCTTGTCGGCTCAACCGTTTTCACACCATTCTTCACCACCAAGGAACGTTCACGTTGAGCCTGGAAGATGGGTGTCGGGGAGATTCTCTTCCTGAACGAGACATGACAAAGTTTTGATTTTGTTTCTCCGGATGAGACGCTCAAGGCAGAGGGGAAGATGGGTTTGGTGTACGCAGAGGATGCCATGTTTTTTTTTTCTTTCTCTTCTCTTCGAATGATCCAATCAAACAACAGGGGTCTTTATAAAATCTATGAATCCCCAGAAGCGTTCGTTTTCATTGTCTATTTATAAACCAAGAATGTGCTACAGGGATATTTTTCTTTTGTTTGCTGGTGGATTTTTCTCATCCTACTTGTTAAAACAATTAACTATTTCTTTTTTCAGAAAAATAATTGGGGGTAGGTGAGTGAGAGTATCATCACCAGTCATAAATATGTCTATTTCCAATTTTTCAAATTATCAGAAAAAACAGTCAAATGGGCCACGTTTTTGTGACTCAGTGAATGGTGGTCTACAAATATAACAATTCAACCAAAATTCCTTTCTTTTTCATTTTACTAATATAATATAACTCTCTCAACAATTGCAAGAAACTAAGTATATGAATTGCCTCTACAAATATGCTATTCCACTGGTTATAAATTACTGGCAGATCCTCTCCTACAAAAATTGTGGGTAGAAGATACATTCAATGCTCAATGGAGTAAATTCACCCCATTTTCTCATTTATTTATTTATGGGCTCTGTCCCTGATTTTGAAAATGTACCTTCTCCCACGCATTAGTCAACTTGATATAATGTACATCACTAATTGCATTTATTTAAAAGTTTTTATTATTTTTTATATTGTTGTTGCTAACCAATCCATTAGCGAAGAGGCTAATTAGGGCACATAAACAAATACACGAATCCGAATCTTGTTGAAATACTACCTTTGTTAGTTATTTTATGAATGAAAATATTCCTTATATCGTACTCTATTTTGTTAAAAATAAAATGCTTTATCAAAAAGTGCTTCGAAAAACTTGTTTTTTCTTCAAAAGTACACATTTTTTCATTTCACTGCTTATGCATTTATACTCGTTATCGATTCTCTTCCACTGTTTTCCCCCACCTTGTAAAAGACTCGTTCTTTGCATTCTTTATACGTTTTAGTGCCTTCCTCTTTTTTTTGTCGGTGAAATCATAATCCATTATTTTCACCTTTTGATAATGACATTCGTAGTCGTACACATGTTTTTTGTTTATCTTCTTTTTCCCATTTTGTTTATCACTTTTTTCTTAATCTCAACGTATCATCTTTTCATAAGATCTTTCATTTATTCTTTTCTCTCTTCTTACATGTTACTACATATATTATGTACACTATAACTTCCCACTTCAGTTTTATAATAAGACTCAAAATTTTAAATTATTCGATCAATTTGATATATTTTAAAAATTAGTTTTTTAATAAAAATGTTTTTAGAGTATTTTTAATTAAAAAAAATATTTGTGATATACCTTACTAATAAGCAATTATTCTTATAAGCAATTTCTATTAATCCTTCATTATCCGTAAATAAAAAACTAGTCACACATCATCATTATATATTATTTCTCATAATTGTGTATTTTTTATTTTTAATATTTAATATTTTTTATACATATTAAATTAATTATGTGAATTTTAATATTAATTTTTATATAATAAAAATATTACTTATTATATTTGATTAAATTAATATTTTAATAATAGTAATAATTATTATTATTATTATTTAAGTTGTCAGAAAGTAAAACAAATAAAAAAAAATTATAAAAGTGTGGATTGTGACTTATAACATTCTAAATTTTTAATTGTAATATTTTTTTTATTAAGTTGAGTAGATGTAAGTGATATTTAATTATATTATTATGGGATGATAATTTTTTTTAAATATTAGTATTTTATTTTATGGTTGGGTTTCTAAAAATTTATATTAATATATTAGCTATATAAAAATTTATTATATAAATGATATAAAATAAATATATATGCGTAATATAGTAGTTTATTTTATATATATATATATTTTAACTACTAAATATATATAACCATACACATTAGGATTTATTAAATAACAATGAATACAATGAATACGAGTTCTTTTATTTAAAAAAAGAAAATAACAATTAACGAGATAAGGTTAGATACATAAGAGGCAAACTTGGTCATAGAAATATGCAAGATTTAATGAGGAAAAGTTGTATACCAGTCAAGAAAAAGAGAATAGGTACGTCATCTTCTTTTATACAATAAATAATACAATTTTTTAATGGAATAAATCATGATGTTTTATTGTAAATAGAAGTAATGGTTTTTAAATTTGATGCAATTTGGTTTCTCTCAGTTTTAACCTTAAGATAATAGCATAAGAAGCTAAATGGTAAAAAAAATGCAACATCTAAGGAACTTTATTTATATATATATATATATATATATATATATATATATATTATATCGAAATAAATTTAGTTAAATTTATTCTTAGAATAAATAATTTTTTCTTTTTATATATGTATTTAGTTGTTGTGAGGTGTCTTTAATTTCATTTTTCTTTTAATGTTATTTGACTATTGTTAATATATTATTTAAATTTTTTATTTTCTTTGTCATTTTATACGTGTTGTTTGTATTTTTTTAACTCATTTTAGTATGTTAATTTTTATTTGCAAATATTTTATTTAAATTTTGTTTCTAAATAAATAAAATAATATCAAATTTAGATTATTTTTCAACTAATATTATATTATATTGGTTGTTATACATTTTATTTATGAATTAAAATTTGTTTTTATTTATAATTATTCTTTGATCTATTTTTTCATGTGGCTAATATAGGAAATGGAAAGAAAAAAATAATTTTAATAAATATATTAATATTAATAATGATTATTATAGTAATAGATATTATTTCTAATTTTATTGTGATTAGGGAGTTATTATATTAATATCAATGATCATGTATGACAAGTAAAAAAAAAATTGAGTTAATAAATAAAGTAGGTATTTGTAATTAAAAATTTTGATCTTGGAGATTTAGATGAGTATATATTTGATCAAGATGATATATACTTGTATTATTGGGACCATAATAAAACTTATTTATCTTGATTGGTTATATGCGAATTAATAATATATTAAAATTATGCATCATATATATTATTTTATTTACATAATATTTATTCTCATTTCTATTGTGTTTCTTGTTTTATATTTAAAATAAAATATATTACAAAATTAAATATATTTTTTTAATATTTAATATTTTTTATACACATTAAAATAATTATGTGAATTCTATTATTAATTTTTATATGTTAAAATATTATTTATTATATTTAATTAAATTAATATTTAATAATAATAATTACATTTTTTTTTAATTGTCAAAAAGTGAAGTATAATAAAAAAATACAAAAATGTGGATTATTTATAAGATCCTATTGGAACAAAACTTATAAAAATATAATGTGAGTTATTTGTATAAATCTTAATAAATTACTTACAAAAATCACAATTAAAAAATACTCTTATTAAATATATTATTTGAGTTCAATATGTTAGTAAATTTCATTTAAATTTATATTTTGTTAGTAAATCTCACAGGGCCTCTCCTAAACCCTAAACCTTACCAACTCCAAATCAGGCCCTCCCCACCCTTGGCTCGCCATAGACGGCCTCGCCGTCGTCTTCCTCGTCCTCACCACCTGCTGGCAGCCAAAACAGTAACCCTAAACAGAGACTAATCTGCAAAATACAAAAATTTTCATAAATAAGTTACAGGTAACAAATATGAACCGTTAATTATTTTATTATTAAATCTAACGGTTAAAAATGATGTTTCATTGATGTTTCATTGATGTACCACTTTAATTTTTTGTTTCAATTTGGTCCCTAATAATTTAAATTAGTGCAATTTCTGTTCAAATTATTTAAACGGAGTTAACTGTTGGCCACGTGGATGCCACGTAGATGCATAGGTGCATGCCAAATTACTTGAATACACCTAGAACCAGAACGGCCCGTTCTGAAACCAGAACGACCCGTTTTGCTTGCACTCTTGGTGTGTTAATTTTGCACCTGGAACGGGTCATTTCAGATGCAAAATTAACACACCACGAGTACATGAACTGGCCTTTCTGGTTTCGGAACGGGCTGTTCTAGTTTCAAAACGGGTTGTTCTGGTTCCAAAATGTCAAACACAAACGGTCGATGATTATAGTTCACGATTGTGAATCGTTCAAGGAAAAAAACCCAAGGTACAAAGCATTTCAAATACTGGATTTGGTAATATTGTCAATGAGGATTGATAACTTCAATTGCTAAACATTTGGGCTATACAGTGTATCATTAAGTACAATGCATTTTATCACTAATTACAATTTTATCATTTTTTATTTCATTTTTAATCAAATTGTATTTAACCACTTACTACCAAATTGACACTATATAGTCAAGGATGACACGAAACGGTGTTTTCCCTTGAAGTCATTGACAATGTACCCCAACAATAACAATTTGTTCTTGAGGAGGTACAACCTGAAGTAAAGGAAGAGGATACACATGACCATGCATTTCACCACACAACTACATGTACAAGTAGATAATGCTGATATCCTATCAACCATTCAGTATTATATGGTGGATAAGATGTATTATTGGCACCTTCAGCGTTATCCAGATGATTTTTCTTCTCAATAATTTCTTTGAACTTTTTTAGTATATGTTATGTTCTGAATTTTTGTTTTCAGTTTATGAACCATATTTCTGTCTTTGAATTTATGATATGTTATGAATTTTTATTTTAAATTTTTGAATCACATTGCATTATTTTGTTGAACTTATGTATGTGGTTGGTGTTCTGGAATGGGTCGTTCTGAATCCAAAACGACCCGTTCTGGTTTCAGAACGGCCCGTTATGGTTTAAGGTGTATTCAAGAAATTTAGCATTCACCTATGCATCTACGTGACATTCATGTGGCCAACAGTTAACTTCGTTTAAATAATTTGGACGAAAGTTTGACATTACAATAATTTAAATTATTAGAGACCAAATTAAAACAAAAAATTAAAATGAGACTAAATTGAAACAAATAAATATTATAAAGGAATAAATTAGATTTTTAATTAAAAAAAACTTATTTCTCTTGCTAGTCTTTTTATAGTTTAAATTTAAATCTAACTAAACTTGAAAAGGCAATTGAATTGATCGATGAGAATGATAAATTAAAAAAGAGTTGTCCGTACTGTTGAAAAGTATGCGCAGGCAGCAGCAGCAGAATAGTTGGTGT